AAATAGTAGACTAATGGTATTTTCATTTAGTTCATGTTTTTAAGATACCCCGCTTTCACTAAGATATAAATAGTGTTAAAATTAATACAACAATACATACACCAAAAATAAAACATGCAAAACAACTTTTGATCTGACAACCTTGCCACTGCAGAAATTCAATCAGTATAAAAGCTCGGGGATACTTATGAAATTTATTAGTTCGCAATCACAGGTTCACTGTTAACGTGAAATAAACATGTTCTCAAAAGTAAGACTCTACTTTGAATAAATTATAGAGATATACCATTTTGTGAAGAATTGATAAAACTTTATTATAACATTATTTGAATTGATAAAATTTATTAACATTTTACTGCTTATACTAGCTCTGTATATTACGTTTATTTTACTTTCTTCCATCCACCAATGAAAAAGTTTCTAAATTGTTGCAGATTTTGGCATTGAGTGCCGTTTTGGCAGTGTCTGCGGCAGGGCTCTTGCCTCAGCAACACTACTCATCAGCCGCAGCTGTCTCCTCACAGAGCATAGTGCGTCACGACCAACCTCAGGCTATTCACTCTGCACCCGTCGCCATACATGCCGCCCCTCTCGCCTACCACGCTGCTCCAGTTGCCACTTATGCGGCTCCCGCCCGTTATTCCGCCGGCCATGCTGTGTCCTCTCAAACAATCTTACGTCATGATCAGCCCCATGCCGCATTCGGAATTGCTCCTGTATCCTACGCAGCAGCACCAGCGCACTACGCTGCGCCTATCATCAGCCATGCTGCTCCCGTGACCAAGCTTGTTGCCACCGCACAACACGAGGAATACGTAAGTAAATTAAATAACCATTACAACAAGATAAAAACAACAACAAATATTAAAATGTAACGTAAGCTTAGTAGTAATAAGTAGTTCTTAACCACGTATTTTTAATTCTAGGCTCATCCTAAATACGACTTCGCATACTCCGTGGCCGATGGACACACTGGCGACAACAAGTCCCAGCACGAGAGCCGCGATGGTGATGCTGTGCACGGCGAGTACTCGCTGCTTGAAGCTGATGGCTCAGTACGCAGCGTACAGTACACCGCTGACGACCACAACGGCTTCAACGCTGTAGTCAGCCACTCCGCGCCCGCGAAACACGTTGTTTCAGCTCCCGCACATTATCTGGCTCATCATTAAGTGACAATTCTGACCGAAAACTTTGAATTAGTTATATAATTCGTTGCAGTTATTTTTGTAGAATTAATAATTTATTAAAATTACTTGTTCTATATTTTTACCGTTTTATTTATTATGGACTATACTAATCACAAATAAATACGTCTAAATTATTCTTTAATAAATACGTATTATGGTTACAGCACGAAGGTATTGCTGGCTAAAGCATGGAAGAACCACGCTCTCAAAGAAAACAAGCGTAAAATTTCTGCTGCTCTGTTTCGTATGGTCTATATGTGTATGTGCAGAGAACCGAGACTTTTTTTACAACATTTAAAATAAAAGCAACTATATTTTGATTCTTAATTAAAAATTGATTTAGGTGTCTATAGACCACATAATTTCATGATTCTACTACAAAAAATATAAAAATACAATTTTCATAACTTAGCATCTTATGAAATCCGTTTGTAGAATAATATTTTTTTATTTCTTAAAACTATAAATAAAAGCTGTGAAACTATATAACTCTAGGTTAACGGGAAAGTACGCTATAGGTATTGATGAGGGAGCTTGCGAGTTGTATCTTTTGATTACGTTGAAATAATAATAACTTGAGCAGAAGGCCTTTTATATTAATTTCAACTCGATATTTCTACACGCTTCTGATATTAAAGGCAAATTGAAGAGATGGACGGCCAGACGGACAACAAAGTGATCCTACTCGTATATGGGCTCTGTTTTCTTTCCTTCTGAAGAACGGTCCCCTTCAAAACATATTTGAAACAACAAACAATCTAAAGAGAAGTAAAGACTATTAACACTTCCATAAACTTTAAAAATATACTTATAGCCTTTTTTTCTAAATATTGATAATATTATCAAATTAATATTAACAAAATACAAAATTGTAACTCAATCGTGAATAGAATATGCAAACGATAAAGTATTCACTCTCTCCATCAGCTTGAATGTTTAATGTTTGTTATTCCTAATCAATAAAAAAACTTTAAATGACAAAAATGGTTCCAAATTTTGCATGGAATACAAAAAGTTTTAATATATTGAAATCAACGCGAGCAAAGTCGCAGAAACTGCTAGTGTTTTTTAAAACATAAAAAGAATTTTGTTAATTGTACCTAAGTAGATTCTGTGAGTCATAGATATTTAAATTTATCCTCGATTAAGAATCAAAAAAGAAGAAAAATAGAGGCGTGGTAGCTCAGGGGCTTAGCACTTGCTGTAAATTTCACAGTAGGGGAACAACCCGGGTTCGATCCCCGCCGGCAACAATGAACATTTTAATTGCAATTTTAAGTTCTGACTTACCACGTGCTTGGCGGTAGAGAAAAACATGGTGAGGGAACCAGCATATCAGAGAAGAAGAAATAAATTATATTTTGAAGACATGTGAAGTTCGTCGCGACGCATTGTGGCAGCGCGGCGGACGTCTTCCTGCCATAAACCATCTCAGAAATGAGAGAAGGCCTGTGCTCAGCAGTGGGACGTATTATGACTAAGGTGAAATGCCTCGTTTCTAGTAAAAAAGGTTTCCGGTTATCTTCACTCACAATACGAAGCACAGCAACATTAAACTGATATCTACACTGGTGAGACTCTGTGAGAGCGGCTCGACCGGGGTAGTTCTACCCCGGTCGAGCCGACTTATCCGTGCTTCAAATACTCGTATAATATAGCTGCAGCATGATTCTAACACGTATATATTTAACAATTTTTATTTAACTATTAAAGTAGACAAAGTAAAGTTACAATGAAAAAAAATTTTTTTTTAAAAGATACTGCATATTTCATATTGAAATTTCTAAATAAAGTATACCTGTGTTTTTTGCGAAGGAAAGGCAAACGTGGCTAACGTTTCTTCTCGGCTAAAATATTCCACTGAAAGTTAACCAACAAAAGCAGTGGGATATTCCGTTGGTACGGAGTGTGCAGAAAGATTCGTTTCACAATTTTCACAGTGACCAGATCAGGCTCGCCTTCTAGCTGTTTCGACCATCAAGTAGTCTTGACACATTGATTGATGGGGAAAGCTTGCGACTCGACGTAGGAATCCGTCTAGGAGCGGCAATTTGTCAACCTCACTACTGCCCCTGTGGTAGCAGCGGTGACGAGTTTGGGCTCCACGGATTTTCATGTAAGATAAGTCCAGGTAGGTTTTCCCGGGTTCCTTGAACGAAGTCATCTGAAGGGCTCTTTTCTCTATAAAGGTTCCCTCGGTTTTAGAGCCTTGCGGAATATTTAGAAACGATGGCAAGAGACCCGAAGTCTTTGACGTAACTTTGGTCCCTTAGGAGAGAGGTAAAGCCCTAGTGTGGGATGCTACTTGCGTACACACGTTCAAAGCGAGGCGGCATTATTGGCAGCTGAATTAAGTAAGTGGTGCAAATATGAGTATTTGAGAAACGACTACGAATTTGTGCCATTTGCTGTAGAGACTATCGGTCCGTGGTGTCCACGTACGGTGAAGTTCCTAAAGCAACTGTATCAGCGACTGGTCATCGCTGCTGGTGATAAGTGGGATTGTTCTCTTCCCGCTCAAATGCTAAGTATTCAGCGAGAAAACGCTGCCAGCGTTTTTGGCACGATACCACGGGGAGTAGAATGTGTATGATAATAATTATAATTGTATGACAATTTTTATTTTTAGTTCTAGCTTTTCTTTGTTATAGTTTCAATTTAATATTGTATGTGACCTTTTAGTTAGAATTATTAGTATACAATCGTAATAAAACAAAAAATTGATACTAATTACATACTAACATCTACGACATACAAACATGTTTCTCAAGAAAAATCACGCATTATAATTAAAATTGCATTTGATTTTTTTTTACGTAAAATATTATATGTTTCGAGTTTTTTTTTTACCACTTGTACCCATAATACCCACACTAACTTTTCTCTTGTATCGTGGATGCAGTACTATGTATGTATACTAGTATATAAATTGCCCAAGGGCAAACATCCAGACCTGGAAAAATTATTCCGTGTGGGATTAGAGCCCGCGGTGCCCAGTAATTCAACTTATTGCTAAGGCACTGCTTCATGGAGCCGTTCGTGTTGACATAACTTGTATCAAACTGGAAGGATTCTATTCCAAGCTTTCCTATAATTAGAGAGAAGAGTCCAGTAACCTGTCACAAGCATTATTATCTTACTTCAATCACTATACAGATAATGTAAAAAATATTTTTATACCCATTCGTGCTACAACTATATATCTACAGCCTGGTTCTACAACTTATAAAAGTAACAAGTTATCATAAGTTAAATTAAACGCGAGAAACTGCTTAAAATTGGTTTTATTCTATGTGACGAACAAAGATCATTATTAGAATAATTATAGATAAACGAAAAAACCCCACTTACGTTTATTTAAAATATTTTTTTAAGTTAGTTTATTTTTTATTGTTTTAATTAAGCAAATTTTTGATAAGTCATACGCAATGTAGTGATCTCGTAGTTGATGTAAGAAATTAATACAACAATACTTACACCAAAGATAAAACATGCGAAACAACTCTTGACCTGACAACCTTGCCACTGCAGAAATTCAATCAGTATAAAAGCTCGGCAACACTTACAATATTTATTAGTTCACTGTAAACGTGGAATAAATATGTTCTCAAAAGTGAGGTTCTACTTTTTTAATTAGAGAAAATTAATCTGATGATACTATTTTTGTAATCGTTTAATTAACCTTTATTATCTATGTATGATTAGAATAGCATAGCATTTCACTTTTTATACCATTGTATATTATATTGATTTTACTTTCTTATACCATCAAACAATGACGAAGTTTCTAAATTGTTACAGATTTTAGCATTGAGTGCCGTTTTGGCAGTGTCTGCGGCAGGTCTCTTGCCTCAGCAACACTACTCATCAGCGGCAGCTGTCTCCTCACAGAGCATCGTGCGTCACGACCAACATCAGGCTATTCACTCTGCACCTGTCGCCGTACATGCCGCCCCTCTCGCCTACCACGCTGCTCCAGTTGCCACTTATGCGGCTCCCGCCCGTTATTCCGCCGGCCATGCTGTGTCCTCTCAAACAATCTTGCGTCATGATCAGCCCCATGCCGCAATCGGATTTGCTCCTGTATCCTACGCGGCAGCACCAGCGCACTACGCCGCGCCTATCATCAGCCATGCTGCTCCCGTGACCAAGCTTGTTGCCACCGCACAACACGAGGAATACGTAAGTAAATTATATGAAAATTACAACAATAATAAAAATAACAACAAACATTTAGTTGTTACGTAAGCTTAGTTGTACTAAGTAGTACTTAACCACGTATGTTTAATTCTAGGCTCATCCTAAATACGACTTCGCATACTCCGTGGCCGATGGACACACTGGCGACAACAAGTCCCAGCACGAGAGCCGCGATGGTGACGTCGTGCATGGTGAATACTCGCTTCTCGAGGCTGATGGTTCCGTGCGCAGCGTTCAGTACTCCGCTGACGACCACAACGGCTTCAACGCTGTAGTCAGCCACTCCGCTCCCGCACATCACTCTGCTCCCGCACCGTCTCATATTCTCGCTCATTATTAAATAATTATCCCATCGTGACGAATGAGGTCTTGAATTAAGCTAGTTATTTATTTGTTATAGTTTTCTAGTAGAAAAATAAATTATTTATTTGATTCGTGATTTATTAATTATTCCATATTAACCCGTAAATTTCCGAGGCGCTTTTCTGACTTTTCATTGTTTAATTAATTTCTTACCGCCCATCAAAATCTCACTGCCGGACATTGGCTTCAAGCGGGTTGGTAACCGCAGCTTTTTATTATTTTGAGCTGTAATATTATATAGACGCTGCTGCCGCTCTCATGTTTTAGTTTCCACAGGATCACTACATTGCGTGTGACTCATCATATATATGTGTAAGAAATAAATGCGATCCTATTGTTTATAAGTATACTATTTATATTTTTATTAAAAGTAAGTGAGGGTTTTTCGTTTATCTATAATTCTAATCGAATAAAACCAATTTTAAGGAACTTTTCGCGTCTAATTTAACTTATGATAACTTGTTACTATTATAAGTTGTAGAACCAGGCTGTAGATAAATAGTTGTATCACGAATGGATAAAAAATTATTTTTTAAATTATCTGTACAGTGATTGAAGTAAGATAATAATGTTTGTGACAGATGACTGCGCTCTTCCATATCAACTTTTATTGTTGTTGAGTTAATTGAAACAACGCTTAAATAAAAACAACGCATATATAAAGCTAGTACATAAATAATCTTTTCATTTAGCTAGTAACTAAACTAGATTGATCTTCTTAAGTTTTTCTTTCATAGCTTAATTTACATACGGTGGTTTGGAATATACCAATGTGCAAAATTTGTAATAATATGCATCTACGTAATTCGCTAAGGTAGTTAATCATATTAGTTGTATTTTTCACGTAATTTATGAAAAAAAAAACGATATGTTGGTTGATAATAACAAAATATAGTAACAGGTAACATTTTAAACTGATGGACAATCCCAGAACATTAACAAGTATTTTTCGTAGGAAACAATAAACAATCTTGCAAATCATAAATATAAATTAAAATAGCAAAGTAAAAGCGTTACGGCTTTTACAGCTGAGCACAAGCCTCCTATACGTTCTGAGAAGGTTATAATATAATAATTTGTCGTGTTTACGGTCTCTACTTGTCCTCGATACACTGTATTGCTCAGTCATGCAGGTTTTGTTACGAAGTTTTCTGACTCTTATTAATATTGCAATTAATAATTTCATAGTGCCATGTTCGCGTTCTGTAAAGTGCGATGGTGGGCCTCGGAAACAAAATTTAAAAAATATATTAAGTGAAAAACGTTTGCGCTCCGAGTATTAACTATAATTTAAACAATTACATTAATTATTTTGATACAAGTTATGTCAACACTAAAGGCTCCATGAAGCAATGACTTAGCAATAAGTTGTATTTGTTACTGGGGGCCGCAGGTTCTAATACCGCACATAAAAAGTATTTGTGGGCCATATAATTTTTCTAGGTCTGGGTGTTTGTTCTTGTGCAATTTATGTACTAGTATATATATACTGTATCAACGATACAAGGGAAAATCTCGGTGTGGGTGATATAGGTAGAAGTAGTAAAACAAAATCGGATAGTATAATATTTTAAGTATAACGAAATTGTAGAAAATCGCAAATGCAATTTTAATTATAATTCGTGATTTTTTCTTGAGAAACATGTTTGTATGAAGTTAATATGATTCTGTATTTAGTATCAATTTTTTGTTTCTAAAATTTATTACGATTGTCTAATAATAATTTTGACTAAAATGTTACATATGATAAAACTATAACTAAGAAAAACTAGAACTAAAGATTTAGATATTAATACAGTCCTACTCCCTGTGGTATCGTGCCAAGTCACAGACACTATACACGCAGGAAAGCAGGCAATGAAACGCTAGAAATATTTCTTACACCAATATCACCAAATTTCATAGGTAATGTAGCTTGATTCCAGGCTGTTGTATTAAAAGTTAAATTAAGGATATTCTCTAAAGATATTTTACGATTATTATCAATATCTTTTAAATTATCCGAACATTTCTAGACAGGACTCGATTGTAGTAAATATGTATATTTAAGTACAAAAAGACAATATTTTAAAATATTAAGAGAAATGTGTAGGCTTAAGACATACAATTCATCAACGCAGTTTAAAAATGATCGAATTTTATTTTTAAACAAGTATAAATAACACTATCGAAAAACAACGGAGCACCTAGCAGTTATAGCGAATCCGTACTTTAAAATTTTGCGTGCTTGTTCACTTCTGATAATAACACACTAAAATGATAGAAATAGCCTAATGCTGCAGTAAGAATTGTTTCTTCATGCGGACACTCCTCAACTCTTGTAGCACGAACACGAAACTGCATATACGTTTAATTTTGATAGCTGCTTAATTTAATCTTTATTTATTATTTTTATTTATTAAACTTCATACAACATGACGAATAGCCGGAATTAATGCCTGAGGAATTCTCTATCAGTCAACAAACTTGTACGTGGTAGAGCCATGCTGCAGCTATGGTTGTAGTACCTATAGTTGTAGCACGAATGGGTCAGCTCGACCTGGGAAGTACCACGCTATCACAGAATACCAGCGTAAAATAGCAGGTTAACGCTGCTGTGTTTCATTTGGTGAGTGTAGAGAACCGGAGACCCTTTTTACTGGAAAAGAGGCATTTTATCTTAGTCCTCACGAGTGACAACGCATCTGCATTTTGATTCGTAATCGAGGATTGATGTGGATTTCTAGGGGGCGCATTAACCACTTACCATCAGGTGAACTGTGTACTCGTTTTTCACCCTTATCATATAAAAAAACGGGTGACGCAGATATTAAGTATGGAGTAGGTGTGTGAAATGTTAAAAGACAGAAATGTAAATTAAAGTATATAAATATAAATACCATAATACTTATAATCAGACTTATACTTGCACTTCAAAAATTATTTATTACGCGCATAGCATTTTATAGTTTTATTAACCAAAATCTGTGATAATTAAAATAATAATAATAATATCTTAACTTGGTCAAGTATGTATCATATTTGGTTTTTGCCATATTTTGTATTTCTACAGCGATCGATATTTTTCATCAAATGCCGCTGAAAATAAACGATACAGTAATCAACTCACTACGGCGGCCGAGCCTGGAGTGAGTCAGAGACTCAAAGTGTATTTAGTAAAATAGATTATTACAAGGCTGCTATAAACTAGGGATGGGCCGAACATGGATTTCACCGAATACGAATATTCGGCCGAAAGTTTGGTAAAACTTTTACCGAACCGAATATTCGGCGGAACATTATCCGGTAGGATCACCTCGGTACCTAACCAATTTCTGTCAAAACTTGTTACTGTAAAGCCCGCAGGATTAGCGCCGGACCCTGCCACTCACTCCCCCGCCACACCTGACATGCCTTTGTATAATCATTCTGTACTGAGCAAATTGCCCGCGCACATGCTTATGCTTCGACTAGGTTTGCGCGAAAAAAATTCGTAGTGTTATTCTTAGTGAAAATTGATACATAATTACTTGTATATATATATATATATATATATATATATATATATATATATATATATATATAATGACTTATTTTAGAGAAACTGACGACCAAAATAAACCGAATTGTGAAATTAACTAAAGTAATGTAATGTTTCTTTTTTTGATTCCAAAATCATTTTATCAAGCTTTCTATTTGTTATAATTGGAAATAAATCTAAATATATAATATATCTATAAATAATACAAGTAGATTTAACCCATAAATAAAATATACATTCAACAGTAAAATTATGAAAGACATGGCGTTACTCAATTCATACATTTCAATATAGTGGTCACTGACTATACTACTTTACCGAATGTTCGGTGATTTAGCCGAATATTCAGCCGAATACGAATATTTGGTAAAGTTGTCGAATATGCCGAATACCGAATATGAAACGAATATTTGGCCCATCTCTACTATAAACACCGAAAATATTGGAATTTCTGAGCCAATTTTTTTTTATTATAAATAAAGAAAACAAAATTATACAGCCATTTTCACTCCATGGCTTCCCACATGATAGATGAAGAGATTAAAACAGAGATTGAGTTAAACAATTGATATTTTCATAAGTTATCGTGCTTAGCCCTCCATGCTGACGTGATAAATCTACACCATAAGCCACTAAAACCACTTTTATAATGTAAAAACCGCAATTAAACGATTAAAAAAAAGTATAAATTCAACAATCATTTAGCTTTCTGACGTATTTCATTATGATAGTTAGATACGATTTCATGCGACAAAACGTTGGATTCTTGATTTTTTGGCGCTAGTAGAACATACCTACGCGCTTTGCGCTTAAGTATTACAAAAAAAAAAACGGCCAAGAGCGTGTCGGGCCACACTCAGTGTAGGGTTCCGTAGTTTCCCGTCCGTCACAATAAGTGTTCCCACTTATGAGTTTAAAGGTGGGTATCCATTATGTTCGCGCTCCAGCAGCGCTCCGCGCTCCTGCAACTGCTCCCGGTAGTGGGTACGTGCGCGAACATGGAGCGTGCAACATTGCACGCTCCGCGGCAGGCGCTCCGACTTTCCATCCAAGTTCAAAATGATTTTCCTAGAAAGTTCTTATAAAGTTCTACTTTTCAGATTTTTTTCATATTCATATTTTTTCATATTCATTTATTTTTTTCATTTCTAAGCTTATGGTTCAAAAGTTAGAGGGGGGGAGACACATTGTTTTTTACTTTTGGAGCGATTATTTCCGAAATTATTGACATTATCAAAAAATGATCTTAGTAAACCCTTATTCATTTTTAAGTACCTTTCCAGCAATATATCACACGTTAGGGTTGAAATTAAAAAAAATCACTTCCCACTTTACATATAGGGGGGCTACCCTAATAAAACATTTTTTTTCCAATTTTTATTTTACCACTTTGTCGGCGTGATTGATACACATATTGGTACCAAATTTCAGCTTTCTAGTGCTAACGGTCACAGAGA